GGACATGAACTTGTGCTTGTGAACAGTGGTGAAATAGCTCTCAAGTTCACCAAGATCCACCACCTAACTGCTGAGCACAGAACTCCAACTCAAATACTATTAAAGTCAATGTACATCTTATCTCAAACTGCAATGTTTTTATGTAATGCCTAAATTATCCTGACATAAAATAATAAGAATTACACTCATAGATGTGTTAACCTGTTGATAAAATTCAAATACCTTCTTTTGGCAGTGATGCTTTTTCATATCTTTGCATGGTGTATACAAAAAATAAACGTTATATACTTCCCCTAGTAATGCAGAAGTATTCACTCCTTATACATCTTGGATGGGACTGAGCAAGTCATTCACAGCACAGTACAAATATTCACTTGGGTATAATCTTGTCAATCCTTCTTCTACAACCACATAAAAACAATACTCATTCAAACATGTAAGTTATCGGGCATATTGCTCCACATATTTATTAGGCATCACAAAGATAGATATATATATATATATATATATATATATATATATATATATATATATATATATATATATATATATATATATATATATATATATATATATATATATATATATATATATATATATATATATATATATATATATATATATATATATATATATATATATATATATATATATACATACATACTCAATGATTAGGCATACCTCTATTTACATTCACACGGCTCCTTCTTTTACTTCCTAATTCATTTTAAGGAACACACTTAAGAAACTGACAAAACTGAAAAAAGTTTGCTGGCTTGTTACATCCTCAACAAAATGAGGTATTGATGTAAAACTATAAGTTACACCTTTAATTTAAAGTTGTACTGCTCCCATTGGTGTAGTGAAAAATATTTCTCAAATCTTCCTAACACAGTACAGGGGGTCCCTGCTCACCGTCATAAATGCATTTCTAAAAAGTGCACCTCTAAATAAAACTACACTGAACAAGTCAAGATTTCTCATAAGAAATACAAACAATAGAGTGGAGTTATGCTTCTGGGAAAAAAATTTCGTCAGATAAAAAAAAATTAAGTCCAACAATTTAATTCTCACGAATGAAGGTAAAAGGTGCTTGTATCACAGCCACACTGAGGGGTATACTATGCTGGTTCTGGTCATCCACATAAACTGTGAGAAGACATTCCATATTTTCCTTTAACTGACTTCGGGACCTGCTGATTTCCTTAGCAGTGAGGGGCATTATCACATTGAGCAGTGGCCCTAATCTTCGCAGCTTTACCCCAAGCACATCTTACCATGGTGGGAGGCAAGCCCAGAGCGACTTGAGTGTGAACAGTTTGCCCACCAGCATTAACCTGCCTTAAAACCACCAATTTAGTACCCAAGGTAACTATTTTCCTGGTTTACTTTGTGCTAAGCACTGCACTGTTACTTACTGGGAATTTTAAAGGAAGGATGTTAGGGAAAGATTGGCCAAAAAGCGCAAATATATGAATACAGTATTTCTACGACACAAATGTATACCGGTACTATGTCGTATCTATGCTGATGCGGGAACGCTCCTTGGGTCCTCCATAACACAAAGAAGTTATGTAGTATCAGACTGCAGTCAACACCACCAAAGTATAACATAGCAACCTTAACCCTTACGCCCTAGGTTAGGGTGCGGCTGGCAGTAACACTTCCCCAATAAATAAAGATAAATCAACTTTTCATAAAAGTGGCGGGAATAGGCGGACGTTCTGGAACGTCACCCGGGGCCTGAGGGTTAAAGAGACAACTTCCAAAATTCATTAGCAACTCAGAAAAAAAAAAGGTAAATAGAGAGTCAATAAGCAAGGACCACCTGTATAGTTATATCTGGTTTTGGAAATCTTCTCATACAATGCCATCTTAACATTTTAACTCAAAACACTGTTTTCACTCCTTTCATTAGTAATATACTGTACTCATGTTTTTAATGTTTACTCAAAGACAACTATACAGCTACTGCTACTATGATAAAAGTTAGTTCAAGAACATGCCACTGTGGACCTCATCAATGTGACAAAGGCATAATGCAGAGTCTGAAGTACCGTTCACTATGTGTCCATCACAAAAGGGCCCTGCTCATGATAAATTGGCTATCTGACTTTGTTTAATGTGGTGTGAATTAACATACACCAACTACATACCGAGTAATAAATAAAAATTTAAATACTTTCAAATACAGACATACACCAATGAAATATTTAGCACAGTCACATACATACATTTTACTAGATACACACAGAAAATTCTTTTGAGTTTCAAATTGCCTACCAGAGGTAAGTACTTGCACTACAAAGCCATTAATCACAGATGTCCAGTTGCCAGCAAAAGTTCTCCCACAGCCCTGTGAAGCAAGTTTGTGGGAGGATTTTTGCTGGCAACTGTACCTGTACTACAAATGATGAACCCAGGGTTCAAGGGACCTACTCTTCCCATCTCATGCCTCCTAAATTTTTTAACTTAGGTTTTCAAGAAAACTTACTAAAACATGCAGTGGATGAAGCTATTGTACTTAAGCATCTAACAAAACACTAAAAATCAAGGCAAGTTACTGGTTTAGCCATAAAATTTAATACAGTCCTGTATACTGTTCAGCAATTAATATTAGTAATATATAGAGAATATCAAATACTGTGTATCTTAATACTAACTGAAGGTTTGTAAGATAAAAAGGGGTAAATTTCTATTACACTGAAAGATTAAAATAATAAATAACAGCACTATCCAGAAACGTCTCTTGAGATTCAGTGACGTGCAACAATAAATAGGATCTATCCCCGATTATATAAAGAATGGCCCCAAGTAAAACTACCCACATTATTAAGTTTCCACACTAGTTATTAATTCTTACTCACAAATGGCTTCAGCAAACACCACTTGATAAACTACAATATCATCCCAAAGGGTTAGGTTCTAAAGTAAGGCAAGCTAGAATAATAACTAATAAAATCAGCAATACAAAGAGGAGTCCTAATCTTATCCCTGCCCCATTCTCCCGATTCCCATAAAAAGAAATCCACTGTGCAAGCCGAATACTGAACCTGTACTGGGATTAGGCAAAGCTTATTGGATGTTGTTTAATAATGTAAAAGACTTTGGTAGGTGAAAGGCCTGACATTCTTGTGTGATGCATTAGAATGAATCCAATTATTTTCATGTGGGAGAAGCTGTTCCACATAAGACCAAATTTTAACAGGATGCTCATTATTTTCATTGCAAAATATTTCTCACATTCATTTTTTACCAATTATCGTAGATTCCTAACTGCTTTACTGTACTACTACTGTATTTATAGATCTAAAAAGAAAATCTAAATGAGTCATTATTTCATGTCAACAAAAAAAAATTCCCACAAAGCACATCCCCAAGTACAGTACACTAGTAATTCACTTAGTAAAAGTACTGCACTCAGGATGCAACATTGTACAAAATGAACCAATATGTTACTTTATATCCTGCACACTTCACTTTTAAAATATCATGGCATCCTTCAACAAAAATAAAAAGTAGAATTACACTTATACCATACAGTACTGTATTGTACAGGTACATTTTTCATATTTCTAAACTAAAATACATGCTCCAATGACAGTGAAGTCATTTACATTTTAAACAAAACAAGTATATAGTACGTGATAGTTATTGCTCTGTTTCTCACACACACATCAACACACTATATCCACAAATAAAAATAACTTGCAAAACAGAAATACAGTATCTACAAATACTTCCCCCTTTATCATCTCCAATAAATTATAGATTAAATCTTATACAGTATTTCACACATTCTTTGTTAACCTCAACTTTACATAATACAGGTACTTCTCACTCTGCTTCTTGCATACATCAACACATTATACTCACATGAGAAAATCTTGAATTCACAATAAAATCCTGAAATCTCTATTCCCTTAGTAAGTTGCACTTTTTTAAATTAATACTACTGTACAATATTTACCATCTTCAACAATCTGCTTTTTTATATCTTGAACTTCACACAAACCATCACCATACAATCGTCATAAATGCTTTACTTTAATAATGTATTTACATTATGCATTTGTGCTCATATTATGACCTTTAATTATATCTAATAATTCCTGCAACTATGAATATATCTTTGGTCAAAACCTTACAAAGCTCTCAATGTGCCTAGGTGTACCAAGCACTCCCTCCTGACACTTTCTATAGCTTCATTTATTCAATTACAGTATTTACCTTATGCTCCTATTATTCTAATAAATTTCCCAACAACATTTTTCTTCAATTACCCCATATATATTTTAAAAATTTATCTTTGAAGTGTTTATATACAATGCAACCTTTTGTGTTTATATATAATGCATCTTTTTAATTCCTTCCGAGGAAAACAATAGTTGAAACTTGTCATATCTGGAGGTGAATTACCATGTCTATTATACATAATTTGGCATGAATGCTGCTAAAGGTGCTGCACACTTCATACATTATCTGGGTCCATGTCCTACTGCAACTCTTAATTAAAAACAATATATTGGGTAATATATCACACGTGGTAATTTATTGGTCACCTTCCTACTCATGAAAGAATAGTCGCTAGAATGTTGTTTAAAACTATTTATGGTAGCCGATAAACCTGTCGCCTTCACACTTCTCTCAAGATTAAACATTCATGCTTGGCACTACAGTACTGTATTCAGACTTGACAAAGACTATACGCACAATCATAACTAATCCATGAGCGTTGGGATTAATGTACGAAGAAAAAGTCTCAACCCAACTCATGACCATAGGGGAGTTAATATTATTGGTAGTGTCCATTAATATCCTTAATACCCAAAAAAAAATTCTACCCATAATATAAAAACAAAAACAAATGCATATCAGTCATAAGTTACATACACTACACCATTCATCCCTGAACTAGTAAAACCACAGACAAGCCAATTCCTCGCGCTCACACACAAAGAAACAACAAACATGAATTTCATAAGGATTCAAATTCAGTGTAAACATGGATACATTTTATTATCTCGATCAAGATATTTTGTGGTTTCCTTAGCTCCACCACCATTACTACTGCATATACCTTATGACCTAACAATGGTGAATTCTTCCTATTGTTACTCTTATGGCAAAGACTAGGTTAGGTTGGGTTCAAATAAGCTAGGTAAGGTTTGGTTCAGTCAGATTAGGTCAGATGACATATGCAGAACCTTGCCCTAAAACTTGCCATCCACAAGGAAAGTCACTACTATTACAAGACTGATCCGGTGTTGGACTCACAGTGAGCGATAACTTGACTAATAACAAGCCGTCTTAGTAAATAATGATATGATTAATGCTCACAGCAGAGGATGAAGAAACATCACTAAAGGGTACCAAGTGATGAGTAGGCATTGCATGATTATTTGGCATAGCTCAAGATAATCTATGTTCTGTGCTCAGGTCATCCCGCTGTATAAAACATATCACCTTCATTTTAATCAGCAGCTAAAGGACATGAGCATACAAAACTATCTATGGTTTAATGACTATTAAAACCTTCAAGTAGTTAATATGACATTGAAGCATTAGCAACACTTTAAATACAATAATATTAGATATATTGACAAATATTCCTTTAGCTAACTGGACAAGTATGAAAAGTACATTAACTCTATAAGAGGATTCAATTTTCAAAATAAAAGGTATTACAGTAACTTTTTTAGATCCAGGGGCTACATTGGATTCATGAAAATGCTACAAAAATTATCAATGTTACTACAAGAAATATCAGTTAATTGCTTATTATTCTCAAATTAAAAAGAGCAGCATGTAGACACTAGTATTGCTATGCATTCAAAAAAATGACAGTAAACAATGCATTCAAGACATTTACACAGACATTATTCATTCACAAAAAGGCACAACCGTTTGATGCAAGGGAAACGGGACCCCCCCATGTCCCCCCGTGGTACAGCCAAAGAAAAAATAATTACAATAAAATTGCATCAGGCATCATATACAATTTGAAGAAATAATGATGATTAGTAATTTTTGGAGGAAAAATAATCAGCCACTTTGAGCAATAAACTTCTTGCATATAGTATGATACAAACACATCATGGAAAATGTTGTTACTCTTACTGAAATGGCACTAAGCCACACACTAAGTCAGAAACTAGAATAGTCACATGAATTCCACCAAAATAGAAACTGGCCATTTTTGTGGTTCCTTGATAGTACAGTATACACAAGAATTTTATGCCAATATTTTTTTTCCAATAAATCATACTTGAATTACACAGATGTGGAAGATCCGATTATGTACTCGGCTCATAGTGACTGGTCACCTTTTAAGTCGTGGGACACAAAGCTTTTAGGTCCGCTCCAAGTTACTGGTTAGTCAACCCTTGAACTGTGAGACATAAACCTGTTAGTCCACTTCAAGTGACTGGTTAGTCAACCTTTGAGTTGTGGGACACAAAACTGTTAGGTAGCTCGTGAAAGTTACACTATAATGTACTAAACTGCCAACATAAGTGAGCGATGTATGACACCCAAGCCTAATAATGAACACGAATAATAACAGCACTATGTGAAGGACAAGCATGCTAGCCATTGTGTCTTTGCAAGACATATCACAATCCATCTGCCCAGACAGGCTGGCCATCTTTACATAGGCCAAATCTCTTGAGTATCAAAAAGCCAAATATCCCAAGCCTTCAAAGTATATGAAACTATACATAAGCCCCAACATCACTAAGCCTATTCTACAGAGACCTCCCAATCATCAGACAATAGGTAGATAACTTAAAAGATTCTTTCTGACACACTGATCATGACAGCTTATAACCAGCAAGTATTAAAACTAGTAATGAGTAGGAGCTGGATAAATAATACACTGTGTATGATTGGCATAAAAGTACCTTTATATGGCTGAGGTTGTGGCATAGAAACACTGCATGAGCCACAGGTAGATGGTGAGCAACAGCTTATATATCAATATAAATACTGTAAGTGGCACAAAAAAGCCCACAGAGGCTCACACACTCGATCTCAAGCTCAATTGTTTTATGTTCATCCCTAAAAGTTACTCCTTAATAAACTCTGATCAACATACTGTTTGCTGGTTAGAACAAAAGCTTTTGACCCAAAATCATTTGTAACAGATAGACAAAGTGCACCGTAAGACACTTTATAAAATGGGAAACAAAAATTATTCACTAAAACAATTCCAAAACGTTTCATTTTGTGCAAGATTACCATATACATTATTTTCAACTACATCCATACATTCACAACTGCCATATAAGTTATCTCAGAATACAAAGTTTTTATTATTTATGATATTTATTAAAAACAAGGCACTTCATGATTCTTGCTGCTACAGTCATATTTGAAAACATCCAACTTGCAATTAAAACTGATAACAGATGAGAAACACTGCTGCCTACTAGGAACAGATTTTGTAATTTTTCTTAGTTTATATTTAAAGTAGCACATTAACTAAATTATAAAAATATCTCCCCAACATAAGAAATGTTAACTAAATGCTCACAAGAGATCAGAAACAAGCAAGAAAAATGCAAAGATCAAAATTATATTTGTTAATTAGGTAATCATCTCCACAAATCTCAAGTAGATTTATATTATTTATGTAACCTTTAACCGTTTCAAACCAATTCACTGAACACAGTTGGAGTTGATCCAACTGCACACCATCACTCAAAAGTACTGTACAGTACTGTATTATGTAATATGATGTGAAAACTCTAATTTGACCTTAATTTCTTTAAGCTCCTTCATAATGTCAAATGCACATATCTAGTATGAATGCAACTGATAAAAAATTATTAAATCTATGAAAACTTTAAAAGCATACTGTACTCCTATGACATGTATCATACAAATCTAAAGTTAAAAAGTTTTTATTTTATATTTTTTTTGCTCCACAACATCACATATTCTTTATGTATAAAAGACATGTAGTAACTTTCAAATTTGTCCATTGAACACAATGTAAATGTTGACATCACAGTGTCCTCAACATAACAAACAGATCCCCTTGCTGTACCGCTGGTGGCAGGGGTCATAAAAAAATGGTAATTATGTAATGATATAAGATTTATTATATATGTATAGCTTAGTTTTCCTTGAAATATAAATACCATTGTCTTTCTTAGAATGGGAGACCTTTGTTTTTCTGGCTTAGTTGGCAAAAATTTCATGTGTATGTACACACACACACACTTATTATAATTAAACTGCATTACTTCATTCCCAAACCTAACTAGTTCCTTGTATATATATATATATATATATATATATATATATATATATATATATATATATATATATATATATATATATATATATATATATATATATATATATATATATATCTGATCTAACTACTTATACTTTACTAATATATCCCCACCATTTTTGCATGTACTGTACCTTTCTAATCTGCCTATACTACTTGATCAATCCAAATCGTAACATTCTTCGAACTTTGATACATCCAAATGTATCTTGCCAAGCCCAGTCCTTATTATATTATATACAATTAATCAGTCTAAAAAGTTATCTGATATTGGATTCAAATTTTAGAGAAAATAATACCTTGGGTATTTTCTAAATAATAACAATAAAAAGGACATTATATTCCAAATTTACTTTGTTCAATTCTAATTAGCTTTTCAAGAAAAGTTAATAATGACTATCTACTTCAAAAAAAAGTAAAAACTATGTTAAGGGATCACCATTAGTTCAAAATAATTTGAACTAAGTTTCACTTTTACTCATAAAATAATTTATTCCATAAATGTAATAAAACTAAAGCAAATTCACAATGGTGTCTGTACTATTAATGGCAAACTGTACTGGACTGTCTGATAAAAGCTCACCCCTCAACCAAACCTGGTGGTTAAGGTCTTAGCACCCTAGAGGTTAGAAGCCATGTTTTAAATAAGGTTAACCTCGATGAGATTAATTTGAGCAAGGACAGACAATTCAGGATCAATTTTCAAATATAGCACATTATTTGCATAGTAACTGTGTTATTATTATTCTTTACAATAAACAATGATGCAGAGGACAACATCAAAGAATAAAAATTTTGGATCATCCATGTCCTGTTCAGTCCTAACTCACCAGAAGCAAATGTATAACACATCCACAAAGGTAAAACCTTGCTGTCTTGGCATGTTTTACTAAGATGTCACATCGTGCTGCTCAAGCCACGTTTTGGAAGAACTAGTAAATTCGGGCTAATAAGTGCTCTACTTACAGACTTATTAAATACATATTTATAATAAATGAACCCAGCTGATCAAGGAATTGACAATTATGACCTCACAAAGCCAGGGAAATTTCCCTTAGCTAAGCTTTCAAAATACAGTAAATACATTGACATATCAAGCTTTCTGTTAACTTAATATTTAAACAATACTCACAGAGTTGATCCATTTTTCTTCCTGGGATTATATATATCCCTAATCTTCTTCATAAATATTAAATTATAAAAAATTAAGTGGTAGCCCTGGGTTCTGGAAATTGTGCCTTGTCACTATAATGGATACCCAGCTTCATCACAGTACATATCCCCAAACAATCTGAAGTATAATACCAACCACATTATTTATATACAAATATATCTACACCCTCCACAACTCAATAAATAAGCCCAGGCAACTTGTGGGCTGCTATGATAAAAAAGTTAACAAAAATTATCATCATATCTATATAATTTCAGTCAAATTATAAGCTAACAAACTGCATGTAATGCATATGAAGGTGTTAAAATCAAATTCTATGTATCAATGCATAATTTTACAACAACAGCAACAGAGAACTAAGAAAACAAAAAAATATTTTATTACTATATTAATAAATTCTCCCATTCAAACTTAATAAACTATTTGATTTGTAAATAAAACCCGAAGTTACAAACTACGCAGTGAACTAATAAAAGAACCGTAACAATGTTTTTTATGCATCAGCCGGTTCTTTGAATACCAAACCTGACTGGTTGAGACAGACTGACAGAATTTTCTGACTAGCCCACACTGATGCAGCTTATGACCATTAGTTTGTCACTTTTATTTTTCTCAAACACACCCTCACACAACACAGCTTTCATCAGCCACTACTTGTCTATATAATATTCTTTATGCTCAAATATCAAGACTGGCTGGAGACTATCTCCACCAACTTTTAAGGCATGCCAGAATGGTAGCTGTGAAAGAGGCAAAAAAGTTTAACTTTGACCCAATCAATACCATAAATCCAATTATTCCATACTTAATGGCACAATTATGAAAACAAAAACATGCTAAGGAGAGCTAAATTTAAAAAAAATCAATATCATATCTAAGATAAACTGTTATATGAAACTAGTTGCATATAAATGAATAGTTTCTATATACAGTATACAGTATAATATATAAATGTGTTTTAATGGATATATTATATATTTCTATTCTGAGCTAGCTTATATCTAACATGAGCTAGCCGAGTCAAGGGGAGAGCACAGCTCCTAACTCAATGCCTTGAGAGTCTTCGTCATCACACACCACAACGCTCCAGCAAAGATGAGTGTATTAGCTGCTATTTTCACACCTAATTCTAGTACACACACATATACATAAAAAGACATTATCGACTCATATTTAAAATCGGCGTGAAAATGCAACTAAGACATCAAACTCAGAATGGGTATGGCAACAACTAAACCTGCCACCATCTTGTGACTCAAAGCATCTGGGTTATCATAAGAGGAAACCTAATTGATGAGGCTTCACAAGAGAAGATGAGGTTTTATTGAGAAAGGCATAGGTTTTAGGAAGAGTGAGATGATTAGACCATGTTAGCAGCAGTAAGAAGACTTCTAATGGAAAAATAAAATAAAAATCAACCCTGTATATAATATACCAGTGATCATGAAAAGGAACTTCATTGCACCCTCATGCGACTAACATAGTTCATTATGTATATACGTATAGGCTATCTTAAGAGTATGTGTAAGGCCCAGTACATGAAATACTTAAAATGGCTCACAGACTACAAACGATGCTATGATAAGTATCGAAGGTGGCGATAACTATCTTTACACTTAAGTTACCCACTTAGTCACTTACATTAATGATATATTAACCCAAAGAAACCAGAGAATGCAAAAATGGGCATTTAAATCTGAAGATTACCATCTTTTCATGCTATATATATGACAATAAACGACAACTGTCCCTATTCTTCTCCACACAGTTTTCCCATCTACTATTATTCAGAAAAAAAAACAAAGATATACACACTCAAACCACCATCTCTCCTCTCTCTCTCTCTTTCTCTCTCACTCACATTAAATGTTCATGATGCTTGCAATTCTTTTTACTCTCCATAACAGTTTCCAACAAAAATAGGAAGCGTTGGATGTGTCTGCAGGAAGAAAATACTGCAGTTCAAGCGAAATGTTATGAAAAGGGAAAAAATAAGAGCAGCATGGAAGGGAGCTACCAAGAATGACTTCCTAAATGCCATGGGGTTAATGTTTCCAATTCCATGTTGACTGCTGTTGTTGGTGTTGCCGGTGATGTTGCTGCTGCTGGCCGTGTTGCTGCCGCTGCTGCTGCTGACTATGTGATAAGGGAGGGATGGAATTGCTTGTATCCATCTGCTCATAGTGACCGGATGAGGATGACGAACTATCAGCACCATTTGCAAAGTTAAAGGGATTCTGCAATGCTCTTGGAGAGAATGGACCACCAGAGTTAGGCGTGTAAGGTTTACGTGGAGACCGTGCCTTCACCACACTTGGACGAGACATTTCTTCTAATACAGATGGTGCTACATAAGTAAATCCCTGTGGACAGATTCAGGTTTACCACACAAAAATATTCAAGGACAACTATATGCAAAAACATGGTTTACACAATACTATTTAAAAAAAATAAATAAAAAATCAGATACTGTACAATACACTACTATCAGAATCCATTCAACTACAAATGAGGTAAAACTTGTGAGAAAACTATTTAACATACCTCAAAGACCATGTTAGCGCTTTCACTCAGCATGTTATCATCAGGCGAGTCGACTGGTGTTTGTTTAGTAAACTTACTATCAAACTGACTGACATCATCCTCTCCACTCTGTCACAGGAGAGACACATATGAGGCAGCAATCCTTTATGAATTAGGTCTACCTTCACAAGGCATCTACTACTACTACTTTTTTTTTTTTTTTACTACTACTACTACTACTACTACTACTACTACTACTACTCTTTCTGAGCATCATGCTCATAACTGGCAATAAGTATCTAATTTATTATTCCCACTGGTCAAGGAGAAATTCTATTTTACAAACTAAACAGAGGCACAACTGCCCACATACAATTTAAGCCACTACAATTAATGACCATTTCTCAGAGTGGAAATGGGATGGTCCTACATATGCATGACTTTATCAGTTGATGATGATGATAATGATTATCATTTAGCTTGAACATCTTCATGAATTAACCAGGATAACTCCACTTATTCATGAAGTGACAAGTCAGGTGCAATGAATAGGTTTAATTTCAGTAACAGGATAATAAGGTGGTTAAAATATTCTCATGATAAAGGCATATCAAGAGTTTTGTGTTAAAGGAATACATGCCAAAGAGTTTAAAATTAATATTGTCTCAAATTTTTTAATATTTTTTTTAAATAAATGGTACACAGGTATACATAAAGCATTTTTTTTAATCTAAGACCTAAACTTTACACAATCCTAAATGTGAAAGCAAACAAGTAGAAAAAATACTTACCAAAACAGGTTTAAATGGAGGCTCCAGCTTGCGGTGTATCACATCATCCCAATTGATAAGTTTGAAGAACAGATGTCTCTTGATTGGTTCACCGTCGTCAGATCCACTTCCAAGCCGCTGACTAACTTGCCGCTGTAATGTATAATAATATCAGCACCATGGAGATTAGGGTGGTCAAGAATGCATCAGCGAAATTGTAGCATTATGAATCACAGTGGTGTGATATTTATTTTTATTCCACTTCACCATAGAACTTCTCACACCAAAATCTGAACAGGTTCAGACAATATAAGACCAGTTTGTTGGAGCATCTTAGAATGGTAGTACATTCTGTCAAGAACTCATTGACAGACTTCTTGTGTAAGTGGTTTGTTACCATTATGCTTTCACGGTGGTGATGGGATATGTTCTCTCGTTGACCCCTGGCCTGGTTTTGCCCTCTTCAAGACAATCCAGAACCAATGACCTTGCATCAACAAGACATTACTGTTCACCTTGGAGGATGATGCAGAACTGATGATTCTCTTCACAACTACTGTACTTGCATAAGACTACTGGAAACAGATTTTTGTGTACTTTCCTCTTGTGGGATTCAGATTACATTTCAGGTGAATAAACAATTTCATTTGGTCATAATACAGTAGATATAATGGAAGTAATTTCTTTAATCCTGTTCCTCCTACAGATTGTTTTATGAAAATGTAAGTCATCGAACTTGCACCACCAATTAAATAAATAATTCTGAATTTAACTCCTTGCGTATTACAAGTGGCATCCCCATAATCTGTTTTACAATACATGAAGTTACCATCACCAGCCCAAATATTTGCTTGTCATCTTGAACAAAACACTGGGTGGGGATGTGGAGGACTTACTTTTTATGGCCTAACAAAGCTTAATTATATCTCAAAAAACTCTTTATACATTCTGTTCCCCATCCAAATATGTAACTTCATCAATACTTTTCTTCCTTTCTGAGTTATCCCAGGTAATTTTTTTCTGCAAAGTACTTATGCAAGTACTATTGGCAGGCAACTCTGCATCAGACCTATTGGAGAATATGTAAAGGATTGAAGCCTTTGGAAAATTAAAAAAATAGCCCCTACACATCCAAGCTTTGGTGACAACACTTCCTTCTTATTACCCACATCCCAGAATGACACATCTACACAGACACGTTACCATTACCTTCAGCAGCTTGCGGATGAGGTCTCGTGCATCTGGCGTCAAATAAGGAGGCAGGTTCAACTTGCCCTTTAGAATCTTTTCAATTGTCTTCTTACGATTCTCAGCTGTAAATGGAGGCTACAAAAAGACAAAAGTAAAAAAATCACACACAAAAGACAATTCTATACAACTTAACGGAATGAATTACTATACAGTATTTAAAACTCTCTAAATCACAAGTACTCTGTAACTATTCACACAGTGACCTATGTTAGGAATAAAAAAAAATCAGAAATGATCACCCAGGAGTAATATGACTAACTTTGCTCAGTGTGAGACACCTTAAAGCCAAAATTTATCAAACTAAACATATATCACGGTAAACTACACAGTACAACAAAGTGTTTTGACTCACCGCTCCTGTTAACATATCATACATTAGTGCTCCCAGGGACCACCAATCTACTGCCTTGCCATGCCCAGTGCGTGTGAGGATCTCAGGTGCCATGTACTCAATTGTTCCACAAAAGGTGTGTGTTACTGAATCATCCTAAAAGAAAAAAGTTGTTCTAAAAAAAGAGGAAGGTAAGGGATTAACTAGCTATTGAAGATCCCCCCCCCAAAAAAAAACCTTCAATAAATAAATAAATAAAAACACAAAAAGGGCCTCGTGGCAAACTGAGGGGATCAACTTTTCATTCAAAATTGATTACATATATAAACTTGTACTGCACTGTATTCACAAAAGTTTGGGTGAAATTAAGTAATTTTTTACAAGGCTTGAAATGGTTGATTTTTCCAGTGAGAAGCTAGAAGAGAAGGGGCCAGAATAGTGTATAAATATGATAGAGAACACGATCTAAAAGAAACTTAACCTGATTGAAATGAGTGGACTAGGTCCCCTTCTTAACTAAAAAAGAAAAAAATGGAGGGTAAATAATTAGCTGGTGCAGTCATAGAAAGTCTACAAAAATGGTTCATGTAGCTACTGATTTCCCCTTTAGTTATCCACCATATTAAATTTGCCAAACACAGCAGTGATATATATATATATATATATATATATATATATATATATATATATATATATATATATATATATATATATATATATATATATATATATATATATATATATATATATATATATATATATATATTATCCAGTACACAATTAAAGGTCCTGATACATCTGAAAGGAATCATAACAATAACACCTTTATGCAATTTAAGAAGTTTTAAATAATTTAAAAGGTCTAGAGTTTGGCTTTACCTGGATCTTCTCCTTGCAAAGTCCAAAATCTGTGAGCTTTACATGACCATATGAATCGAGAAGAATGTTTTCAGGCTTCAGGTCTCTGTAGATGATACCTTCAGAGTGCAGGTGCTCAAGAGCCAAGATGATCTCAGATATGTAGAAGCTGTCCATGAGAAAAAATAAATACTGTATGTAATTTGCTATAATTTTTACCTACTGTATACCAGTAAACTCTCAATAATACTAACCTGACTAACTCACTCAAAATGTTTTGGCCAGCTAAAGACTAATTGTTGTTCACTTTTGTTTAATTACTCACACAAAAGTTATGTTAATGCATGAGAAGTACAGTTAAGAGACAAGAGATGATAAGCTAAGCTATGCTATACCACTATACAATTGCTCCTCTACTTACCAACATTTGACTCACGAACTTGTAGAGATACGAACAACCCTGTCCACATATACAGTACAGTGCTGTCTGCGAGTCATTTACGTTCAACAACACTACCCAGTACATGCTCGCGGTAGGCTAACTTTACCAGCAAGCTCCCTTATCCTGGGCTTGCCCCGAGATTCTTTTTTTATGTTGCTACGAGAAGAACATAACTTCAGTCACAATATATGTCACTTTAAATCTATACATAATTTTTGCAAATGAAGATTTACAGACAGTAATTTTCTTTTCGTTTGCATCTATTAATCTCGCTGGTGGCACTGTTGCCAAGTTAGACTCGTCACTCTAGCCACATCCCCAAGCCCTCTCTCTACCAGGCCGACTGTAAGTAATGTTATGGTTATTCTTCAACTCATATTTTTGGGTAGATATACTGTACTGTACTTAACCTTCTTATATGTTTTTTTACTCAGTTACATACACACACAATCCTTCATACATAATGTGAAAAAAATATGTAAAAAGAAAAACCTATCATAAGGTCAAAAACATAAAGGGAATAAACATTTCTTTGTGTGCGAGAGTTAGCAGACTTAGCGGAGAGCAAGAGGGGAGTGCAGTGTGGGAATCCTGTTGATAAGGGTTGGCAGAGGCAGCGTCCGAGCTGGGCTACGTTGCTATGGCAAGTGTTGAGACCACACAACCAGCAGCTATGCAAATGGCAGGTGTGTTAAACTTTCATGTAACTTTTCCTTAATGGTTTTAGCTGCTTTTTTAAATCTAGATAATACTGTATACAATTGTTGCTTGAAGTAGCACAACCGTTAAATAACATAACAAGGGTAGGTGGTATGGTTTATGAATGTTAGGAAAGGGACTTGTGAGTTTGCTTCATCTTTTAAGCTTACCGTGTAGACATTACTTTACATCTGTGAAAATATTCCATACTTTTTTTTATATAATTTTACAACATATTCGGTATCTACAAGAGTAAAGTTGGACTTACCAACAAATGGACTTACAAATAAGCCTCAGGAACGTAACTTGTTGGTAAGTAGAGGACCATCTGTATAACCACAATTAAGAGACTGACCATGCAGTGTCCTCCATGAAGATTCCTTCTCTTTCCAAGTGCATGAAGAGTTCTCCACCAGACAGATACTCCAGAATGAGGTACAACTTCCCACCAGTTTGGAATGCATATACCAGATCCACGATAAATGGGTGCTGGTTTATAAGAAAGAAAAAAATTAAGAAATAAGCTAAACAATCACTAAAACGTCATTTTTGCCCCAGATATATTCTTAGGCCAGACAGGGGTCATAGCTGGTGAGTAAAATAAAGTCATAAGCAACCATTATCAAACTTGACCTACTGTACTGTAGGTGTTCATGGCAAAAAGCTGTCAACCAAATTTCACTATGACCCCTGATGTATTTCTCACAATATATAAAGGAAATTACTTTCTTAGGGAACAACAGACACAGCCTCATCTTACTCTATGGCAAAGGAACAATAAGAAAGAACAAAATAAAGAAAGACTAATCAACCACAAAAGTATAAAATATGTTGTCTCAATACGTACAGAAAATTATTAATAATTAATTGTTCATTCTTTTGCCAAATGTTGATATGAAGGAGCTGGAAATTAGAGAAGTGCCGATACCAAAATTCTGGCTGATACCGATACTAATCCTGAAGCCGATACCGATACATTCTATATCAGAGGACTCACCCATACCGGACAGGTCTATCTACTAACCTGTTGGCATGAATCATTGCTTAGTGCCAAGTCTTAACTTTCCTTTGTTAATTTAACTTATTAATTTAGGCTCGTGTTCATTACTTATGTATTGAACTTGGCTAGTTATTAAAACTCATTCTGCTGTTAATAGCACTAAGTTGACAACACTGTTTCTCAGTCCACACTTGTGGGTTGTACAGTTGCCAACTCTTGATTAATTTATATATGTAGTTGTGTATGTTGATCTAGAAGTTAGAACATTAATATTGTGATTATTGCCTAATGTTGAGTCTTGACTCTTTAGTCTTACAAGTTTATTATCAGTTTTGTTTATTAGTATTCAGTATACTGTACAGGGGGAACTTAAAAATTAAAAGATCTTTAACTTAAAGACACTAAAATGTTTCTCAAATTCTTATATCAATATTCTAGTTCTACACTGAAAAAAAAGGAAATTATTAAAATTATTATTTGAATTTTACTCATAGTAAAAGTACTGAGTTTATTAATATCTCCATGTTGGTCTGGACAGTTGCTACAATAGATACTGTATGATTGTTAATTTGTTTAATTTTCTTATTAATGCAATTTCAAATTACTGCACTTTCATATGTTTAATAAAAGTATCGACTGGTTTCGGCACATTTTTCACCGATACCAATACCTCCAAAATTAGCCGATACCACTGCTACTTCGGCACATCTCTACTGGAAATGTTGTAGAACTATAACAAATAAAGAAGGAAAAAAATACAAGTAATAGGTATTACCACTAACAAACAAATGAAAAATTTAATAGATTCACTTCACTGGAATAAGAAAAACATTAAAGCATTCTCATAATACCAGGAAAATTTTAATGTAATACTCTGCAATAATCAACAGAGTTTGTTTGTGTTGACTACTAACCTGACCTGTTTTGATATGAAGTAACCTAATATATGACCTCAGTCTCACCTTGACAGCCTCGAGGATGTTTCTTTCAGCCTTTGTGTGCGCTGTGTCCTTCTGGTTACGCACAATTGTCGCCTTCTTCAGAACCTTCATGGCAAATATTTTCCCTCCACCTTTTCCACCTGTCATCTTTCTGACCTAAAAACAAACATACACCAATGGTTATATAATTCTGTACTTCATCATTTTCATCACCATTAACTTTTAAAAGTTAAATATACTGTATTCAAATAGTGTAAATTCTCTATTGACAATTTAGTGTAAATAATATACAGTACACCCACCCAAAAAAGTGCTGTCAGTCCTCTCTTCCATCCATGAATCCGAGATTCATGAACCTGCGAATCCGAGACATCACACAGTGTTAGGCCCATAGATGACGCATTGTGTGATGTCTCAAATTCAAAGGTACAGGAATCTCAGGGTTCATGGATGGAAGAGAGGACTGACAGCACTTTTTTGGGTGGGTGTACATGCATTTGACAAGATGGCCTCAATCACCTAGCTAGCTTAAGTATGGCTACTAAGAGAGGGGTCGTGATTTTTCTTTTCCAAATGATCTTTTATTTCTGGCAACAAGCACTCTTTTTAACACAACTTGCTGATCCCCCTGAACTTTCTTTCAACTGGACAAGATCGTGTTATAATTTTCTTTTTCATTCTACAGTACGCATTTCCTTTTTTCATTACCTTTCCCAGCACTTATTTATACCCACATCCCCTCCACATGACACTTGCATTCATATTTGTTAAGAGTAAGCAAGCAGGCAGCATTTAATTCAAAACACACCATATGTCACCTCAGCCAAACATATACAGTACTGTATGTGCACAAGGGTTTTAACAATTGGCAGCCCAGATATCTTGAATGTGGGGAGGAACACACACACTTACTATGAAAACCTTAATGATGATAATTTTCATCATTTTTTAAGTATCAACATCTGATATCAGTTCAATGCTAGATGAACGCCTCCCACGTGCATTTCAACAACCTTGCATCTTGCTTGCCCACTGACTATCTTAAAACTTTCTGATTCTATCTGTGCATTGTAAAGTATATTTACAGCAGTTATGTAGGTCAGACCACAAATGAGACCATTTGCAATTTTAGCCTTTATGAAGTACCTGAGGATTAGTCTCTCAAGTGCTCCTCAGAAGTTTTGCCCACCCAGCTTGACCAACCTGATGTGTAAACACCCCAAAACTACCTAGGGGCTAACCTTCAGGTGATTCATAAAGGCTAAAATTGTGAATAGTCTTGGTTGTGGTCTTGAATACTACACTGTATATCACTGATTTACAGTAAATTAGACTGATGTACCTGGAAGACTTTCCCATAGCCACCTTTGCCGAGAACCTTCAGCAGTTGAAAGTCTGATGGTCGTGCTTTCTCCGTCCCAGGATTAACAGTGCTGTCTGACAATTGCAATGTCTCTATACCCTCAGATCTGCAAGAGATGAAAAATAACGGTAACTGAATTCAGGTCAATAATAATATAGAACTACAAATCTGATTTCTAAAGATACAAAACATTATTACAGTACAGTACAACACAGTACAGTACTATCCTTTCTTTACACAACAGTTTAAACAATGTTGAGAAAGATCAGAACAAAAAGCAATGGATAACTTGAGGAAATGTATAGAATTATTATTACTATAATTTTTATTTTATGGGGATTAGCCCACCCAGGCACAGGTCACAGATCCACATCAGTGCCTGGGGGGTGAAAAAAAAAGCACCATAAATAAATACAGAAATGGAAAGAAAAAAATAATAAAATAAAACATCAAATGTGAGAAATGACAATAATGCATATGTTGTGTTGTCAAAGTAAGAGAAACAATTGAGACCCTGCAATTGTGTATAAATGAGGCAGAAAGTCAGTCAGATCAGTAACCTGGGACTTGGTCACAATTTTCGTGATGCCATATGGCAGCAGGGTGTACTATTAGAAAACACATTATGCTCCCAATATTTCCCCAGTCAGTAGTACAATACCTCCCTGTTTGCTGCCTACTACCAACAAATAACAATCCATAAAAAAAATATATGCCCACTACTCAGAAAAATTAATAAAAATCCATAAACTTAACAGATTAGACAATCATAATAGGGATGCAAATTCTAAAAGGGTACAATATAAGACTACAGTACATGTTCAACAACTATAGCTACAAGGATACAACCAATTTCTCAATGATACTTACTGAAGGATTGCATTTATGTCAGGCCCCTGCTCATACTGACTCTGAAAAGATGAAACAATAAATTTAGTGTCTCTTAGTATCCATAAAAACACATTTTACTAAGAAAGCCATAAAAGAATCTCCTATTACAGGTACAGTACTTGTGAATAAATCACCAATATAAATACAGTACTGTATCTAAACTACTGTATATTAATCATATAACTACATAACAAAGAGAGTTTACGTAAGTTAGCGTATATCAAATGTAGTTTTTACAGTACAGTTAATGCCAACACCTCCAGGATTCAAAGAACACACACCAAAAACATATAGAGTAACAGTGCTGTACCAAATACAGGTCACTGAATTAAATCATTAAAAAACAAAAATAGGATTTCATGAAGAATATGTACCCCCCCCCACTTGTTTCAGCTAATGACTAAACACCCAAATTCTAACCTAAAAAACCTTATTCTTCCTTCAGCATTAATATGATTGGCAAATTATGCACCTGTAGTTATTTTATATGAATTGGCCACTTTACCACGCAGCAGGTAATTAGGGTGTTTAACCACCAGGTGAAGTAAGCGGGTGCTCCTAATACTCACGAGAACCAAATATATTATTTTCACAAGTCAAGAAACACCTGGGGTGTGTAATACACTGTACTGTACAGAATGTGATGAAGTGTTTTCCACGGAAGGAGGGGACTGGTGTGGACAAATGCAGTGTGCTTCAGAGGCATGTGCCTGAGGAGACAATCCTCTATCCATTACTGTACCTCTATAGTTCTCCCAGGGTGGATGAACTGTTTTAAGGATAGCTAATACCCATACTATAGTTAGCAATATTACATGTTAATATTAACCACTTTATAAAAATATCTTTCAAATATTAATAAAAGTAACTTTCCTACTTTTGTTTTTTCTATACCGGTAGTACTGTACCAGGTATTTCTGACGAGGAAATTTGGCGGAGACGACATTGCCGCCACGTTTAGGGGTAAACTGTTGACTTGTTAGCCAGTGCAGAAACTATTCCATTGCTAAGCAACCTTGCCAATGAACTTTTCATATACAGTACAGGTCAATACTAAATCATTGTTGGTAAGTAGTTGCTGGTGAGCAATGCGGGAATGAGACACAAAACTAATACTGTGATACGAAAATTTATGTAAAACCTCATTATTTATTGTCAGCTATTACTCTAAGAAACAATTTATAATTACAAATACACGGTACAAAAACTTTAAAAAGTTGCAGACAGTTTTTCACATGTACAGAACAATTATGTTTATGTCTATGAAGCATTTGTCTTTTGGCACAGCACAATAAGGTGGCAGGTCCACCAAGGTTTGTCTTCATGACAAAATAATTAGGATGAACCATAAGTAGGAAAGCTGCAATTCCTCCAAATGTTTATGTTTCTTTTCCTAAAGTGGCTCATAATAACACTCACCATTGTAAACTTTTACCGTATTTTGTTACAGTAGTGTACAGTATTGTATATACTGCAACTCATTTAGTTTATTATGAAAATCAATATCACAGTTAATTCTAATCAATCAGAAAGTGTTTTTCTACATACTGCACTGTACTTCAGAGAGCATATTAATGTTCTACTCCACATTTTCTATCATAAAATTATCACTCTTAAACATTAGATTTTCCATATTGGTACGTACAGGTGGTTGCTGTATTTCATTTTAGATGAAAATTATACAAGTGATCCATTAGAGCAGATAAAATGAATAAACCAAATCTACTTAGCTCAAGATAATGATTTAAAAATATATTTTAGGAAGTTTAAGTAAAGTTGGATATACTATTGTAATACTTTATGACATTGACTCATAAGAAGGAGCAACTTTGGGAATTTTCTCTATGGAAAAAACTTTTTATTACCTCTTGAATGCTTCAGATAATAAAAATCAACTCGGCATTAAAATGACACACATATTCAACATAATTAAGATACCGTGAATTTTTCTTCATACACAGGTCTTTTCTCACTGTTATTAATATGTTTTTCATGTTTTGACAATTCTAAGACTTTTTTTCTATAGTATTTCCGCTGGAAATTAAGGATAACCGAGATATTAATTTTTCAATATTATTAGATTTGGTCAGTACAAGTGTCGCCATTTGTTGTTTACATCTCACAGAGAAGGTCTGACCACCCATCATGCAGTGCTCCTTACCTCCGTGTTGGCTTCTTAAGCGTCTACAGCACATGTGCGGGGGGTGGTGTGGGAGTTTCTTATTGGCTATAGCGATAGGAGACTTATAATTGGGCAAGAGTTTTTTGTCTTAGCCAATGAACAATACGGGGATGCGTCGGGAGTCGAGATTTGATTTTTCAGTACCAGAATAACCGGTCCGCATTACCCAAATGTACCCAAATGTAGCCAAATATAGCCGGAATGAAGTTAAATAATGGTCCTAGACGAATAAATCGGACTGCCAATCACTTCTCGACTAGTATTTGGTGTCAGAAAGTCACAAAAAATTGGTAAACTTAATTTAATCTGAGTTAATAGATCGCGTGCATGTACCGACGGAGCGAGGAATTACCCAAATGTAGTCGCAATGAAGTCAAATAATGGTCCTAGAAGAATAAATCAGACTGCCAATCACTTCTCGACTAGTATTTGGTGTCACAGTCACAAAAAATTGGTAAACTTAATTTAATCTGAGTTAATAGATCAAGTGCATGTACCTAACCTAACCTAACCTAACCTAACCTAACCCAACCTAACTCAGATTAAATTAAGTTTACCAATTTTTTTTTACTTTCTGACACCAAATACTAGTCGAGAAGTGATTAACAGTCCGAATTATTCATGTAGGACCATTATTTAACTTCATTCCGGCTATATTTGGGTACATTTGGGTACATTTGGGTAATTAGTCGGACCGGAATAACCAGATATAGCTGAACAGGTGGAAAGCTGTGCCGGCATTGTGACAGATTATTTTACGTCAATTGCAGTTTCATCAGAAAAATAGCGTTAGGTTAGGTTTGGTTTTGTTGGTTAGGTTAGGTTAGGTTAGGTTAGGTTAGGTTAGGTTTGGTTTTGTTGGTTGGTAGGTATTTTATATATGTAATTTACTCGAAAAAAAATTAATTTTTGTTAGGATTAATGGGTGGGGGGAGGGGAGCGTTATCTCAGAAACTATTAATTTACGGCTTAAATGAATATCAAATTCGTTCAAAACTCATCTAATATAACTACTAAACCACTCTATCAAAATCCTAAATATAACTCCAAGAAAATTAATACATTCTGGGGAAAACCCACTAGTCACGGTGTTGAGTCATTCTAATTAAAATAAAATAATGAGAAATTCAACATATTTAAAGATCAAATATATAAAATATTCCACAAAAACCCTTAAAAAAAATACTAGGTGGGTTAGTAATAATAATTTCATCATAGATAAACCCTTCGCCTTCCTCACCTCCTCCACCTCAATGGCATCATCATCAGACTGGTCACATTCTATAGCATCTTCCTCTTGTAATTCCAAATCAAATAATCCAGGAGCCGCCATTATGAGTATATTAAATCTACTTTCACTTATTTTTTCACTTATTAATTGTTCTAGATACAGGAGAGATGAGGTAAACCAAAACAACCACAGATGTACTGCATGAGACTGACTGACACAGGTAGTAGGGGAGATGAAAAGCCAAACCCTGTAAGTCACTTTTCATTACTATTTTACCTTTTAATTTATCTATTGACACATATTATAACATCTAGAAAACCATATTATTTATAAGAATTTATGAATATATTTGTATTAGTAGTTTTAATAATGATCAAAAGTATTACAGTTGTTAATATATTTTGTCTTTTCATTTATTCATTAAAACGGATTTGTAAACCCCTATGACCTATATAGTACTAGTTAATTTATTTATCATATTACTTGTTATAAAAGGAATAATGTGGCAAGTAATAAAGTATATATACGATTCTCAAAAGACTTTATTAATATAAGTAATGTATGTGCCAAGATACAAAACTGCCTTCAATAGTTCATAACAAAAAATTAGACCTACATGCAGTCAATCTGGGTCAATTAACTTTATTGGTGTGACATAGAATAAAACAAGCAGCTGTAAAAAGGTGTGAAATAATATAGATGTAACTTGGAATGACTGTAAGAAATAAGTCTTTCTGTACCAAAGTCTTGAAATAACATGATTGAAATAAACCACTTAACATCCTCCATATTTCACCGTTATTTAGCTTAATTGTACTATTTTTCTCAAATAAATTCACTGATAAATCTAATAATTTCCTAATTTTTCTTATAATTTCATGTTCTTTTTACATTTTCATTTCACACTTCCTAAGAAATCACTCAACTACCACACCGACCGTTGCCTTCCAGCGTTATATTGCAATTAAACTACCATATAGGAGTTCAAAGGAAACGACTGAGAATATGAGATAGTCTAATAACCATGGCCTCATCCATGATAAGATACTGTACTGTAGATAAGCTCAAGGATTATTTACCGACTTTCACAACATGTTTGCCTTCTGTTCACATTTATCTGTTTATCTATACATCTATCTATCTACCTTAGTGCCTCTATATGTTCATCTATAGTTGTTCAGCCATTAAAACACAGCTCTCTCTCTGTCTCTCTCTCTGTCTCTCTCTGTCAATGGCGGGACCCTTATGTCCGGTAAGCGACTGTAAATTGCCTCAGCTATTAAGTACTATAGATAACCATAAGCACTAACGTACATATCTAGTACGCTTCACTACATTATAACTGATATGATTATTTGGACCACAGCAAGACAGCCCTCAAATTATTTCACCTTTATTGTAACCGCATTAATGCTGACCTAATCCCCTTCAGTAAATTTAGTGAAATATGCTGGGGGCTAATCTTCATGTGATTATATTAATTATTTACATTCTGCTACTAGAGACCTTGAGAGCTATGTATGTATGTATGTATGTATGTATGTATGTATGTATGTATGTATGTGCAAATAGAATTACAAAACATGATGAGAAGTCTGTGTGGAAACTTTATCTGTTAATTGATAATTAATAGAGTACAGATTGATGGTGTGTTCACGATAGTCAAGGACTGAGGATGGTATTTCTTAACCTCCCATTATCTTAACACTTGTTTCTACATTATTATCAGATTATTCACTAAAATCGTTAAACAAACTCACGTTGATTTAACATGTATATAGACAAGCAAGTAGACAATGTTCAAATAAACTTACAAACAGACCTCTCATTGTCTTAAGTAATGCAGTACGTTATTTATCACGTTCTTTAGCTTTAATAAACATAATCTTTTACACGCCAATCAAACATGTCTTCTCTTGACATTCAATTTGTTGTTAATAGATAAGACCTATGTTTGGGAGTTAAGACTGTCTGGTCCTCTTGTGTGGGGGTAGTGTGGGGTCATGGAGGTTGTGTGGTGATAGTGTGGGGTCATGGAGGTTGTGTGGTGATAGTGTGGGGTCATGGAGGTTGTGTGGTGATAGTGTGGGGTCATGGAGGTTGTGTGGTGATAGTGTGGGGTCATGGAGGTTGTGTGGTGATAGTGTGGGGTCATGGAGGTTGTGGGTGATAGTGTGTCATGGAGGTTAGTGTGGGGTCATGGAGGTTGTGTGGTGGTAGTGTGGGGTCATGAGGTGTGTGGTGGTAGAGGGGGTCAGTGGAGGTGTGTGGTGATAGTGTGGGGTCATGGAGGTTGTGTGGTGATAGTGTGGGGGTCATGGAGGTTGTGTGGTGATAGTGGGGTCATGGAGGTTGTGTAGGGGTAGGGGTCATGGAGGTGTGTGGTGATAGTGGGGTCCTGGAGGTTGTGTGGTGATAGTGTGGGGTCATGGAGGTTGTGTGGTGATAGTGTGGGGTCCTGAGGTTGTGTGGTGATAGTGTGGGGGTCATGGAGGTTATGTGGTGGTAGTGGGATCCTGGAGGTTGTGTGGTGATAGGTGGGGTCATGGAGGTTGTGTGGTGATAGTGTGGGGTCCTGGAGGTTGTGTGATAGTGGGGTCCTGGAGGTTGTGTGGTGATAGTGTGGGGTCTGGAGGTTGTGTGGTGATATGGAGGTTGTGTGTGTAGTGTGGGTCCTGAGGTTGTGGTGGTAGTGTGGGGTCCTGGAGGTTGTGTGGTGTAGTGTGGAGGTCCTGAGGTTGTGTGGTGGTAGTGGGGTCCCTGGAGGTTGTGTGGTGATAGATGTGGGGTCCTGGAGGTTGTGTGGTGATAGTGTGGGGTCATGGAGGTTGTGTGGTGATAGTGTGGGGTCATGGAGGTTGTGTGGTGATAGTGTGGGGTCCTGGAGGTTGTGTGGTGGTAGTGTGGGGTCCTGGAGGTTGTGTGGTGGTAGTGTGAGGTCCTGGAGGTTGTGTGGTGGTAGTGTGAGGTCCTGGAGGTTGTGTGGTGGTAGTGTGAGGTCCTGGAGGTTTGTCTGTACACTGAAACCGATCATTGGGAAACTACCGGAGACTAGCGGGACAGCCAGTGGTAATTCGACAACTTTTGAGATATATCTACTGCTTTTGCTAATGCGACCTGGTCACTGGTAACCAGAGGTGGAGACACGGTAAGCAGCTGAAAGCGGGGTCGTAACATTTATTATAACAAGGTACTTAAGCTATCAAATCTGGAGCGAACACGTAGCAATGGTTTTAAATTAGAGAAATTTGGATCTAGGCTTGAAATAAGTACATGCAATACTATATACTAGTTTGGGAATAGAATTGTGATTGAGTGGATTGAATTACGAATGACCATCATTAACTCGAACTCGCCCCTATGTGGGAAAATTCACCTTCAGGGACTGTTTGTGTGTATGTGTGTGAACTCTGTACACCATGAGTAACTTACTGTTCTCTATGTTAATGGATACGATGTTGTTTTGCCTAATGTGGCATTCAGATGTGGTTTTTTCCTATTGGTTTATGTTCGCTGGGATTGTGTCCGGTGGGAATCCTTCAGCTTGGATAGTGTCAAGGCTTTATCATATGCTTCAGCAGTGAGCGGTGCCACGCATTAATGAACCTCCTGGCCCTGGGGTGTTAACGCAGCTGACAGACACTCTCACCGAAAAACACATATCTATCACACTTAAATAATCTAACATGCTGTGACGTAATATAATACGCTACAACGTTATCTGATATATTCTAACTTGGATTTCGAAAAGATCGTTGCGAAATATCGATCGGATTAATGTGACCTCAGAGTTGGGAAAGACAATGTACTGCTGTGACCCCGAGCTTCACGAGGTGCCGCAGGTATATTGAGATTATCAACGTGAGGTCACAACACCTGGTCCTATCCTATAAGTATTCTATAGGATATAAGCATCTGAAAGGTTTTGTTGGGTATCGTTGGTCGAATTACATTACTGTTTACCATTGCTTGTACACCCGCACTGTCTAGTAAGAGTCACATATTATATTGACTGAATATATATTATATATTCATAGTGTCTTGTAAGTTTGTATTATGTCATCATTAATATACTGTACGACGGGACCTTGTACAGTATTGGTGTTCTACAGGTGTTGGCCAAGAAGGATTTCCCCCACATGGGTATCGTAAAATAAATCACGTATTTCTCGTTATCAATATAACCTAACCTAACCTAACCAAACCTAACTTAAATGTGGTGGTAGTAACTTAACCCAATTTACCTTTAATATAAATGTACAGTACTGATGGATTAGGAAAAAAATACCCTGGAACGACTGGGTTGTCTTTATCACTAATAATCTTAAGTCATCGTCTGTGTGTTTCTCAATACCTACTTATTATCGATAAGATTCCTTGTTAGGGTTCATTCTTTTTTCCCTGCTGTTTGAGATTCAGAGAACAAACATTTAGTCGCGAGACAATAATTGCTGTACCACAGTTAAGGGAGTAGCCTCAGGGATTCAAAGTTGGCACGAGATTGGTTTTATATCCTGTTTGTAAAGAAAAGTTTACATTGTGGCAGGCCAATGCTGAATTCCTGAACTTATTTGACAAACATACATACATATATATATATACTTAGAATGTCTACTCAACACACAGGTTCCATAAACAGTACAGTGCCAATTTTGAATCCCTTTAAACGAGCCAGTTAAATGCGTTCTCACATTATTTTTATTATCTTTTTCCGCTTTAAATACGTGTGATAGATTGGGCCAAATCGTTGCAAAGTTTTGTAAGAAAAAAATGAAGGTCCCCAACTTAAGGAATGTTATTGCGTTGTCTCTACGAAGTGTAGGGTCTTAAGAGCAACAGCTGGACACCCCACCATGGAGACGGACCTGAGTGTGTTGGCTGATAGTACTAGATTGTGATTTGAAGGTCACAAAAACAGCAGCGAGTTAACTACGGACCGCGGACAGGATCTGGTTTGTGATAACATGATATTTTGTCTGGCCCGCGAAGCTGTTTTCCTTGTCCCGATTTATAAGTGGGAAGTAAAACACCGAAAAACGAGAGCGTTGTCTATTTCGACTGTAATAACCAATAATTCCTCTTCACAGTGCTGAAGAGGACCTCATAGATTACGGTCGATATATACAATGCTCTCATTCTATTTGTATTTTAACATCTATAGTGGTATTACGTAATTTTTTCAGTGATGTAAATGTATGCTGTCCCACGTACTGCTAATTATCATATTGAATAGTTTTACAAAAATAAACCGTTATTGAACTTATGGCTTTGCAATGCCCTTGGAACCTAAAACCAAGTAAACAATGTGTTTTTGCTCGTAACAAGGCTAATAAATACTTGGGTTCATACAAAGGAGTGTTAGTTACAAGACTAGCGAGGTCATCTTATGATTATATCTTGCACTTGTGAGACCTCACCTGGATTATGCAGTTCAGTTCTGGTCACCGTATTACAGAATGGATATGGAATCCTTGGAAAGAAATCAGTGGGGAATGACAAGACTAATCCCGGGCATTAGGAACCTTGAGCATAGAGACAGGTTAAAGCATCTTAATTTGCACTCCTTCGAGAGACGTAGAGCGAGGGGCGACATGATAAAGGTGTATAAAAGGAAGTCAGGGCTAAACAAAGGGGACATTACAAAGGTACTCAAACTATCCAACCAGGAGCGAACTCGTAACAATGGTTTTAAACTAGACAAATTTAGATTTAGGCGCGAAATAGGTCAACACTGGTTTGGAAACAGAGTAGTGGATGAATGGAACAAGTTACCAAACATCTTCATTAACTCGAATACGCTGGATAGCTTCAAACATAGGTTGGATGCTTATATGAGCAATAGAGGTTGGGTGTAAACGGGACTGCCCATTATGGGCCAATAGGCCCGCTGCAGTTAACTCCATTCTTATGTTCTTACTTGCAGGGGCGGAACCAGGAATATCAATAGTGGGATCCAATAAGTTTTGGGTGAGGGAACATGGCAGGCACAGCCAGTCCACCCAGCTGGGGTGTTTTGGTGGGGCGCTGTAAGCTCCCCATAATTTTGTTTGAAATCTGACCAAGTCATGGGCATTTTGAGGCCAATTTGAAGCCACACGCACTTGATATTAGGATATATTCAGAGATCAATAATAATTACTTTTTACTATACAAAAAGAATGAGTACAATACTGCATTAAAGAAAAAGTATTGGGGTTTTCTGATGAAAGGGAGGTTCGGACCCCCAGGAACCCCCCTCCTCCCTGGATCCGCCGTTGACTTGTCTGAATTTAACATGGTTGTAGCGTTGTACCAAGGACAGTATAGTGCATACATTAATTGAGGTACTGGTTTGGAAAGGGTAAGCTTCTCTACTTGCATATCTGCTCTTGTGTGAGAATTTTTTGGTTAAGGTACTGTATTGTTGGTTTTTAGAGCCTCGGGCTTATCCTGCAATCAAGTTTACCGTAAGTTTTCTGTCTGTCAGCTGTCTCTCAGCTTGATGGCACGCCTGTGGCACTTTAAAGCCTTTCATAAGGACCGTTGTAGGGGTGTTGAAATATTAATGTTGTCTAGCACTCAGGATGGAAGGAAACTCTAAGGTGGTTTTCTTGTATAATATAAGTTATATGATAGACAGTCTGGTGCTGGAGGTGCCATGTGGTGAGGGGCTGCTCAATAGAGACGTTCGGTGAGTAGCGTGTTGAAGGAGGTAGATGTGCAGGAGCTTCGTTAGAGAAGATGTTGCCTGTTGCTGGCCTCCTGGTTGAATGAATGCTGGATAGCTAGGAGCTTGCTGGAGGAGGTGTTGCGTGCTCAGGAAGATGGGCCAGAATGAGAGTTGGTTGGTGAGGAAGCTCAGAGAAGGACAGCTGGTGGGTCGCCATGCTCGCTGGCGGGAGCGAGGACCGCCAGGCAGGCGAGGAGAAGCCAAGGCAGCCAGGCAGCGGCGGAGGAGGAGGTGTTGCTTGTTCAAAAAGAATGGTCAGAAAGAATCTCAATGGAGAGACAGAGCTTATATACCCAGCAGCCGCTATGAGTCATGTTGGGAAAACCCGAGAAGTCGCCGGTTCCTTGTTTCGTTGCTAGGATACGGTAACATCTGGTTGGTTGTTAGGGAAGGCGGTAGCAGGTGGTGGCTGTGGCTACGCAGTTGTAGGCAGTTGTAGGGGAGACGTCCACTACAATACTCCCCCTTCCCTCCAGGCGGTGTAGGAGACTTGTTGTCTGTAGAGTTGCTTAGCACATGTGAGGTAGACCGGGCGGTGCATGCCTCATGTGAGACAATGGCGATGGCGTGATGAGCCGATCGCTGAAATACAACTGTCTAGATACACACTATCTGTGGGAGAAGGGAGAAAAAGGGTGTGTGGAGGCGATGAATGTTGTGCTTCCCTCACGACAGGTACAGGGTCGTCAGATGCGCCTGCTGGGGTGTGTGTGGGCCTGGGTCAGGAGCAGGGGCTGCGTCAGCAGAAGCGGATTAGGGCTCGTGACAGCAGCTGGGTCCACGACAGCAGCAGGGTGCAGGACATTAGCAGGGAGTACCTGAGGGAGAAAAGAGGGGTGTGTGGGTCTGGGTCAGCGTCTGAGGCAGGACGGGTGTGCTGGGGTCGTAGGATGTGGTGCTTGGGGCAGGAAGAGGAGCCGGTGTCTGCTTGAAGACTGGGAGCGTGATCAGTGTCTCCTCCATCCTGTGTGAGTGCTAATCTCCGGGAGTCACCATTTGTAGGGGTGTTGAAATATTAATGTTGTCTAGCACTCAGGATGGAAGGAAACTCTAAGGTGGTTTTCTTGTATAATATAAGTTATATGATGGACAGTCTGGTGCTGGAGGTGCCGTGTGGTGAGGGGCTGCTCAATAGAGACGTTCGGTGAGTAGCGTGTTGAAGGAGGTAGATGTGCAGGAGCTTCGTTAGAGAAGATGTTGCCTGTTGCTGGCCTCCTGGTTGAATGAATGCTGGATAGCTAGGAGCTTGCTGGAGGAGGTGTTGTGTGCTCAGGAAGATGGGCCAGAATGAGAGTTGGTTGGTGAGGAAGCTCAGAGAAGGACAGCTGGTGGGTCGCCATGCTCGCTGGCGGGAGCGAGGACCGCCAGGCAGGCGAGGAGAAGCCAAGGCAGCCAGGCAGCGGCGGAGGAGGAGGTGTTGCTTGTTCAAGAAGAATGGTCAGAAAGAATCTCAATGGAGAGACAGAGCTTATATACCCAGCAGCCGCTATGAGTCATGTTGGGAAAACCCGAGAAGTCGCCGGTTCCTAGTTTCGTTGCTAGGATACGGTAACATCTGGTTGGTTGTTAGGGAAGGCGGTAGCAGGTGGTGGCTGTGGCTACGCAGTTGTAGGCAGTTGTAGGGGAGACGTCCACTACACCGTCATGTTTATTTTCAGTGTGCCTGGCGTCTGGAACTGGATCCCATGGCCCGAGATATATATATATATATATATATATATATATATATATATATATATATATATATATATATATATATATATATATATATATATATATATATATATATATATATATTTTTTTTAGTCTGTACTCACCCCTGAAGATGTGAATTACACGAAAGCGCTTGGGAACTTCGTGTTTTCTTTTTCCTTGTGGTTATCAGCATATACCTGGATCACGCGCACCTACAGTGATTTATTTGCATATATATATATATATATATATATATATATATATATATATATATATATATATATATATATATATATATATATATATATATATATATATATATATATATATATACAGTATATATATATAAACTGGATGTCCGTGTTAATTGGCGCATCATACCTCAAGAAGCAAAAAAAGTAAAATAAAACTGTAGAAACACCCATGGACAAAAAATCTTAATCATTGACCTTTTATAATATTTTTGATAATACAAATGGGCGTTAAATAAGAAAATAGTGAAGGTTGCCATGAGCGGCGCGCCATAGCACAGGTAATGGGGCAAACTGAGGTGGCGGGAAGCAGCAGTCAGCTGACGGAAGTAAAGATAGGGATTTAGTGAATGTCATCAGCAATAACCCACACCTGTACCACACTGTTCATTCCACAACCACCTTCACCCCACACTCTCAAGATGGAGGCAGGCCAGAAGAGTTCATTAGATAAGAGGTTACTGCACAGGATGTTGTATAAGAATGCTCGTGGCAGAACTCCTCCATGGAAAGATGCCTACCGTAAGGTGGGTAATGTTACACTACTTACCTTCCAACACAACAACAGAAATAATGCTAATATAGTTGCAATATTTGGATTTATACCAATTAAATTACCTATTTAAAAGAAGTTGTCTATTTATTCCTAGTTACTTTTGATGGGATATTGACTTTCAAATTATTAAAATGTGGTATAGGACAAGTATGGCTTAATTTACTTTTTATGTACTGTATGTATGTCATTTTTGTATTTTCAGCATTAGTAATTACAAATATTAAGTGTGTTATGTTTGGTAGGTGTTCATATGTACAGTATATTGATGCTTGTACTGTATTAATTTGTACCCATAAAATTCAATTCAACTCAAATTCTAGTGAATAATGGGTAAAATTATCGGGTTAATATGGAGGACTTCACAGCTGCTTCCCTATGTCTCAGTAAATGTAAGTTAGCCCAAAGCAGGTGTTAAGTTGTGCTAGATTAGGTTAGATTAAGTTGGGTTGGGTTAGGTTAGGTTAAGTTAAGGATAGATTAGAATAAGCTTAGGTTAAATTAACTTGGACTTTTAAATAAACACTCTTTAGCACATTGCCATAACTACGAGTGTCTACTATAAAACAGTGAAATTGCAGCGTTTTTAAACCCGTTTCTATGAAAATCAGCGGCAGTGAAGTATTGAATAATTACCTGCTATTTTACCGTGAGCGTGCTCTGATTGGCTAAGTACTTTCTGTTTAAGTAGAAAAAGAACCAGACCTTTAGTGTAACAGACTAACTTAAATGTCTATTACATGAACAGTAGAAGTATGATAAATAAAACAGACTAAATCAGAGCCTTGGTACTTACAGAAAAAATCTATATAATAGCATTCACCGAAACATAGATTAACTTATGGGAGTTACCTGTCGAATACCAAATTAAAGGTTATAAATTATTTCATACTGATAGGCAGATTAGGAAAGGAGGCGGGGTAGCAATCTATGTCAGGGATGATTTGAATTGAGGAATCCATAATGAAATAAAAACTGTATTGAATACAGAAATAGTTTGGATTGAATTAACCGAGGGTGGGAAAAAATTAATCGTAGGAGTAATATATAGACCTAACCTTGATAGGGTAGATGTGCAACTTATTTGGGATGATATACATATGGCATCCAGATATAGCAAATCTGTATAGTAAGTGACTTTAACTTTAGTCAAATAGATGGACCAACCTTACGAGCAACTCAGAATCAGAGGCTTTTCTTGAAACAGTTCAGTACTGCTTTCTAAGTCAACATATAGCTGTACCCACTCAGGGGACTAAATATACTAGATTTAGTTCTGTCAAACAAAAAACCTCATTAGTAATGTCGATGTAGGGAGCGAACTCGTTAACAGTGTTCACAAAGAATGAGATTCAAAATAGAACTTGAAATCAGTCTCAAGGAAAATTCCATTAAAGTCCCAGATTTCCAGAGGCCAAACATTGATAGGTTGAAAAGACATGACCCCACGAGATGGTATAAATAACTTGATCTCACATGATGTATCCACAGCTGACCTGACCATCTGAAAAATGGCAGATGAAATTTTATGTGTTAAATTGTAAGGTACTTAGCATGGGAGATGTAAATAGAGAAACCAGATATCAGATGAACAGAAACCAGATATCAGATGAACAATGTTGATTGAGAGAAAACCGACTGTAAGAAAGATTTAGGAGTAATGATAAGTAGGAATCTTAACCCAAGACAACAATGTGTATTTGGTCGAAACAAAGGTAACAAAGTACCGTACTTGCATTCATACAAAGTAGTGTTAATAACAAGACGAGCGAGGTTATCCTAAAACTATGTCTTGCGTTTGTGAGACCTCACTTGGATTACGTGGTTCACTTCTGGTCACCGTACTACAGAATGGATATCAAATCCCTAGAAAGCATTTAGAGGATGACAAGACTAATCCCTTATACTGTGCAGTACTTGTTCTGCATCATACCTTGGCAAACTTGAAGATGTGTCTTCTTGTGTTGGTGGTGTATGACATGAAAAATTGGCCTGGGTATACATCATCCATCCCTTTAAAATTTTGAGTGTCAATGAGATATTATCTATTGTGTTTAATCTGAAGAGATGTCAGTCCTAAGGCCCTTGGTCTAGAATACATGGATAATTGAGTCAGTTTAGTTCAGGAATAATCTTAGTTGTTTTATGTTGTACCTTTTATGGGGATGTTATGTCTATCTGGAGGTAGGGTCTTCATGTCTCTATACAATACAGTAGTCCAGTTGGGAATGTGCGAGAAACTTATTAAGTTGAAGGAGCAATTAATTATCTTTGTATTTGAAGGTATGAGTTATTAGTCCTAAATTTTGGTTGGCTTTTTTCATTGTTGCTCTCATTTTTGCTGCCTTAAGTAATTGGCAAAAATAAAGAGTACTTTCCTGCATTTAGTATTTTGTATTTTCTATTCATAGGAAAATACACTCACGTAGCTACTGATACATACTTCTGTATATCCAAACTGTGTTGTTATTGCAGAGATGTATGGACCGTCTCCGTTCAAATCGGTCACAGCTGATTGAGCACTTCCGCTCGGCTGGTGATGCTATCAACAACAACAACAGCAGCGGTAACCATACGACAAAGATGGTGCAGGATGTGATGGAGATAGAATGGGCTGCTATGAGTCAAGCTGCTTCTGGCTTCCCCTCACTCAAGTAAGAGTTTGGTTGTCAATGACTTAAGTTTGTTATCTTTTCATGTTTCTTGGTATTCTTAAAATTAGATAAGTCCCTGGTTGAATATCATGGAGGATGTGTATGAATAAATTGCAAATCATCCCGGTTGTATTGTCCTGTAAGTGCTGTAGTGATCAGGACATGTGAAGAGAATGGTTACACTGTTTGGTTCACTCATTCATTGATTCTCTCTCACTTAGAAATAATTTGAATTTTCAGTAAGGCCTCATTCAGTGTAGATGACCCAGAGGAGGAGGACCAGAATTTATTGTTTGCCATCATGGAAGACATACAGCAGGAACTAGTCAGTGAAGGTAAGCTGGCTCACATTTATGCAGAGTTTTATGTTATACAGGAAAGCCTCACAATTTTGGACAAAGTGTTTCAGTAGTTAACTTATTTGGATTATTTGTTTTAGGGTTCCAGACATATACTGTATACCGGGTATGTAGTTTAACAAAAGATCAAAATCCCGAATAAGTGATGTGTAACTATGGTGTCTCCTTGGTAATTTGTTAATTGTTCTTGATCTGTTAGCATGGCATTCTCATCTTATCTATGGTCAGCTACTTTTTGTATAATTATCTCAGTGATTTTGTAGGCATTAACCCTTAATTAAATGGTGGCCATCATTAGTGGGAATTAGCTGTAGGGATAGTGGCCATCATCAATGGATGTTTTATGTTCCATGTGTTCCATTTTTGCAAATACAGTATAAGGATAGAATAGGGAATCCTTAGCTTCAGGGTTGAATGGTTGAGAAATGGCTTGTGTGTAGTTCTATAAAAAAACATTTCAGAAAAGCTGAAATTACATGTAATAGATCCAGGTGAAAGTAGAATAAACATAAAAGTGCTTCAACAAGTATATGGACTGAAAAAGGGTACTTGTTTCTGCATTAATAATGATAAAGTATAGCAAATAATATTAGAAAGTCAACAGGAAAGTGAAGTTTTCTCATTAAAAAAGCAGAATGTGAGTGGGAATATGCCAAGTCAGAAAGTACAGTATTCATCCATTAAGTTATCAACATCAGATCATTGATGGTAGTGTTGTGTGAGGTGGAAATGTTGAGTACTTTTAGATATTTAGCCAAGCAGAGACAAAAATTAAATTGGTGTACAGTATTAGATTTGAATTAATGTTAGATTTTTGTATTCAATAACCTGTATTTAGATACTACAGTATAGGGAACAAGGCACCGGATGGTTACTTGTGTAGAAGGTGGGCCTGAGTTAGTTGCTTTATCCAGATGTTTTCAGACTGACCTTTCTCCCAGTTATTCTGAAGCTATTGATGGTTTCACACATTTCTAGTTCACCTCAGCTGCTTGTGCCTTCCATTCAATCGATAAATTTTATGTTAATGTGTTATTCATGTTCATAAGTACAGTCTAGATTGAACCCATAACAAACTAAAAAGAATAATTGATGTGATTTAAGAAATTGCACAATATACTAGCACTAATCTCATTGTTTCTCGAGATCTACTGAAGATTTGCCTCCCAGCTTATTTCACCTTAATTAACCACTGTAATGCTTACTTAATCTAACCCCCCAAGTAGCATTAGGGTGTTTAATCACCAGGTGGGGAGAAAAATAAGAAGGACCCATAAGGATGACAACTAGCAGGAAAATGATACATGATAATTTTCAAACATAGGAACCAAATGGGATGAGTTTTTATGGTCATGGAGTAAGGTCACATTCTGGATCTAACTTCTATGAGGCTTCCTTCCACTGTAGTTGAATTCTAGATCTATGGTTTTAATGTAAAACTTATTTCTGAAAAGTTAAATACTTATATTTGGCATCAGATGCCAAGCTCAGGCATGTTGTTGTGTTTTGTAATTGCGCAAGAGCAACGAGCAGCCCAAATGATCTAAATAAATGTTTGGGATGGCAGTTTCTGACAATTGACAAAAGTTTTTGGGAGTTGGTCATTTCATGATTTTTTTCTTATGAAATTTCTGGGCACTGATAAAATAATTACCTTTTCTCTGAAATTGAAGTGGCCAAAGTATGACATGAAAAAATGCTCTGATAACTAGATTCTAAATTATTCACCTTGTTTTCCCACTACAAATTTTATTTTTTATCATCCAGAGGAAAAACTCCTCATTGATGTCCTCAACTATGATGCTGCAGTGCTGGCAAGTCAGGTGGCCTTGCAACAGTCAGAGGAGGTTATCTGCCCTGTATGTCAGGTGAGTAATTGGGTATGACAAGGATTTTAGGAATTTCAATTGATTTTACAAATGAGGAGTCTTTTGACTATCCATAATTATGAATTGTCAGAACCTGAGAGAGTTTATCTTTTAAAATCATTAAGATTTGTTAAGTATACTGGCCTAAAGAAAGACTGGATAATTTAGATTAGTTACGTACATTTGTTTTGTATTCAGTAATTGAACTGGATCAATATGTGGCATTAACTATGTAATAGGTGAAGGAATTTTAGAATAAATTTATGATTGAATGGGTATTACAACTCTAGATTGCCACACCCTGGATGATAAATCTTTGCTGATGTCATTTACTGTACCTTGCTGCTTGCTTTCAGATGCAGGGATTACAGGAGTCACCGAGAAGACCAAGTATATTAGCATCCTCGACAGCTCCACTCGGGGCAGGACCTGGAGCGAACATTCTCGTCTGTGGCTGTGGCTTAGCTTTACAAGGGGCCAACCTTACCCTTAATACAGTAAGTCATTGTTTTCACAGTTACAAGATGACCTTATTTGAAATTGTCATGTGTCAGACGGCAAACATTGCTTAATACATACAGTATTTATCTTTGCTTGTTGGCTGGCATGGCTAGTATGGAACTGTATGGATTTCAGAAAGGAAAAAAGGGTCATTAAACCTTATATAACGGTCATCGTAAATAAATGATGAGTGCCTTTTGTCACGCAATGACAGTGATCATATATTGTATATGATCAGGAACTTTCATTGCCATGTCCTTTATGTTTGGGGCCTGATTTCTGCTTGAGTGAATTCATGTGACTTGTCACCTTTTCCTTCCCCATGTTCCTCCCTGTGCAAGTAGTGTTTTTGGTTGTCTTGGAGGAAGTACCTGGCATTGTCAGTGATGTCATGTGGAAAGACCCCAGGCTGCAGTAGTGTTGCCTTGACACCCAGAGAAATACATGAAATATTCTAGGAATCAGAGAGTGAGGGTGAGATTGAAAAAATGGTAGATTTGCCAAGTAAATTCAGAAGTGAAAGCTCGTGTGTGAGCCTCAAAAATAGTGACAGCGATGATTGGTTGTGGTAATTACATCCCTGGCGACACAACAGCTTAGGTCATAGGTCGCTGAATTAAAATAAAGGCTTAAAAGACTAAAATCAAATTATGCAAAGTAAAAAGCATAAATAATAAATAACAGAACTTTCGTAAAAACAATTTAAACGTTAATAGTTAAAACTCAAAGCTTATGTAGAAGGCCGGCTTCCTCCACAAAGGAGAGGATGCCCCCTTCCCACGCTACTCACTCCCTCCCCTAACACCAAAGAAAGATGGTAAGACCCGTCGTTCCATCAGCACTGGGAGAGGTGCTTACGACAAAGATCTCCGAGACTGGGGCACTCCACCAGGAGTTTTCAAACAGTCAATGCTTGGTGTAGGACAAATACTTAGAGATCAGGAGGAAAGTGCCAAGGAAAGTAAGGTAGAAGTGCTTCTTCACGTTGCATGTGTATCAAGTAGGAGTGCATCACCAACATGTGCTTGTGGAGCTCCTGTCATTTTGCCTGTATGTATTTTCCTGCAGTAGATTTTCTTGGTATTTTTCCCTACAGGTGAAATCCAGCCTAGAAAACACAGTATCTCACCATGGCCAGACATGTCAGGGGCAGATGTCCTTCACACCAACAACAGACACTCAAGGAGCCAATGTTCTCATCACCTGCAACATTTGTGACTGGATGTCCTTCTTGTTGTAGAAGTTATTTTTAGGGTTTTTAACCATCTCTGAGAACTTCACACATCATTCCTGTTGATCTGATAGATTGAACATGGCTGTGATTAAGGTCTGGATAGTCACCCTTTTTTTTTTTACTTTATGATTAAGTGTTTTAAAGTACAGTACGTATATGTAAAGTCTTTCTGGTAAGCCAAGATATATATTGGTGCCATAGTGTGCCATAAGAACAAAAAAAATAGTGTTCGTTAGGTGAATGGGTAGTTTAGTTCACTTTAAATTATACTTTTACAACTGCAGTATTGAGGGAATCAGTAAACTTTTGAAAAGGTGTTAGATTAAAGTCCAATCAACAGTACTGTACGTTAGTATTGAGCACCCTAAAGAAAGAAATGCAGAGGTGGAATCTGTGTGGCTGATTTAGCAGACCGTAAAATTAAAAAAAAATAAAAGTATTGACTTAAAGGATCAGTTTTATCCAGTATTATTAGCACTGTTGTGGGAGGAGTAAAGATATATGTCAGAAAAACTGATGTATGAAATTCTCTTAAAGTTTTGTACAGTACAGTAGTACAGTACAGTACTTGTTATTTTGGAGATACTGAAGGAAAATATCAAAGGTTGCAATCCTGAAAAACTGGTTCATGAATCCTGCAACGATGAAGGCCAATAGTTCCTGAAGAATGCATTGAAAAGATTGGTGGCTTTAATAATTTATTGAGTTTTGAGCAGGTTTTCTTGAATTTGGGGAAGGTCTTATATAAGAAAATTAGTTGAATTTTTCTAAAAAAAAAAATTGATGAAGGTTAATGATGCCTGAAGTATGGACAGTACATAACAGGATTAATCATATAGCTATTTTTTTTATTTTTTGACATTTTAAATACAGTACAGCCTCAATAATTACATGGCTTAGGACAACACTTTTTGGATTTCCAACTAAAAAAAAACTTTACATAGACTACAGTATAAAATGAAAAGCTGTAATAATAATAATAATATATTTGTTGCATCCTACTGCTTCACAGGAGGGTGAGCTGAGCAGTTATCTAAAAGAAGACAAATTTTACAGTCCTGGCAGCCCTACCTTACAGCAGATGTTAGATTCAGATTTGTCCCCGAAGGAGCTAGTTTATTGGGCACCCCCTTACATCCTGGGCAAGGTGAAGTGCAGAAGCGTTTACAGCGCCCAACAGGGAAGTATGAAAAGTTCATACTTGCCTTTATGACCCGTACATTAAGGGCGTAAAAGCCTGAAGGGTCATAGGTTCTGTCAAGTTACATAAAGTGAGAGAATGATGAGTGTGTGGGGGGAAAGTTCCCGGTACATTTTATCTGTTTATGGCAAAGAGTGGCAGGTCCCTAATAATGTCAAATGCCAGTCCTGTGACTAGGAGGAGGGATATCTGGTCTGGGAGCTACCTTACAGCATTGTGCATGAGTCTCAAGTACAAAGTTATGGGTGAACCAGTCAGTAGTTATTTCCTGGTTTTTCATTTCCATTTATTAGCCTTGTAAACCATAGGCATCATTTTCATGCCTTTCAGAGCATAAGGTTTAGCACTCTACCATATCAAGTTCAGTACTTGAAATTTACATGTGCCAGCATCATTACCCATCTTAGAATAGTAAGCCTCTCCTTTAGAGTCTTTGATGCCATAAACCATCTTTCTTTGCACCAGCAAGTGGATTATGAGGCATCGTCATCGCTGTTTGTCAGCCATTTTTCACCCTTGCATTGGTCAGCCTTGATTATTATCCAATGACAGTGTCCTGGTTGCCTTCAGACAAATTTGCACCCTTTAAGCTGGCAATACGGTAATCGAAAATGCTGGTCCCATTTGCATTTTAAATTTGTTCCGAGATAAGCCCTTCATCCTTCACTAAATTTGCAAAATCATTTTATTTACTTATCAGCTGCCTCATTGTTAGCATATTCAATGTTTTTTCCACCAGTAGCCCTTAACCAAGGATCTTCATGTGAGTGGCAAGTCTGTCAACTATTTATGTTCCTTTTGAAGTTTTGAGGATTTTTTGGACTACAAGAATGGTAGGAGTAAATTTTTTTTTGTGAGAATTGTAGATGGCTTTCTGGGTTCTTGAGGTTGTACTGTATTATATACTTGTGCTGGTTGTGTCAAAGAACTATAGAACCATTGTTTGCTTTTTGTTGAATGCAGCTCATAAGTAAACATGAATAATTAATAATCCTTGGATAATGTTTAGCCATTTTTTTCAGTGAGTTAGATATAAGAAAACTGTAAAGTAAATTTACATCATATTCAAATTTAATAAGGCTTTTATTGTATGGTTTATGTTTATGTGTATTAAGGACTAAGGTGTATTTTAAGTTGCATAAACATAATTCAGGAACTTTAATTAGTCATGAATTAATAAGTGAAACAATTTTACTATTTCCATCTAAACGTACAAACAATTCTGTTTAGAACCAAGCCAAATATTGTAAATTTAGGGTTTTTCCGGCAAAATGCATTTATGAATTTGGGGATTTTATAGAGTTCTTTAACATTTCTTTTAGCATATGTCTTGTAAAGAACCCTTTATATTTATTAATGTACTGGAATTCTTCAGAATTTGATTGTTGTTGTCATACAGATTATCACCAAATCTTGGTTCCATCAAGTGAAGCCATTGTTAGAGCTTTACTGGTGTTATCTAGTCGTCTATATTACTCTTGTTCAGACTAAGATGTTTGTTTGTGATACTTTGTACAAAGGTGTTCGGTGATGTGTTTTATGAACAAAAGATATTCATTAATATACATAAGGTAATGTAATGAAGTTCACAGTGGTTTTAGAGAGGGCAATAATGCATGAATGTACAATACTGTGCTGTAATGCACTGTGGGGTAAAGTACTGTAATATAGTACTTTTTTGCTTGGGATATCATATACTGGGCTGACTTTAATCACCATAATGAGATGGTAAGGTTACTAGGGTATATTATTCAGCTTTAATGGGGAGCAGAAAACTTTGTGATTGTACAGGAACTTTCTTGCATTTTATTATTAAGATATATGATCCTGATTATGCTTCCTGGAATGGAATTGTGATAAATGGATACATGATTTTGTGATCTTGCTTTGGAATAGCTGAACAAAACTACGATAATTAGAGTTGACCTGACTTAATTTAACTTAGGTAATATTGTTTCCTATATTGAAGTGGAGTTTCACTGTACACTATAAAAAGGAAGCAATTTGTTTTAGGTGGATGTTAAGTCATGTTTGTGTGCCATACATTTAAAGTGCAGCACCTTGTATCAAGAAGGTGAGGTTAGGGACTGTGAAGTAGGTATGGTTACTAGAAGTAAGATGTGACTGCATATGGGATATAGTGTGTTGACAGCCAGGAGTAGCAACAAGTAGAGCTTATAATGCATGAAATATGAGAAACATTGCCCAACATTAAAGTAATGATGGAGGAGCCTGGTGATTCAGCTATGGGTAGAGAGGAATTGGAGTTTGGTAGCAAGAGATGGGTTATTGGTAATGCTTATTGCTTTGGGTTAAGGTAGTCATTTGGATTACGATAAGGAGGATGGTATTTGCCTTCTCTCATATAAAAACTGGTGTTCCCTTCCCGAATATGGAAAAGATTGGTTTTCGCTTCCCATATATGAGAAAAGGCATTCATCATCTTATTTGTGTGTGAAGGATTGGTATTTAATTTTGCAGTTAGTTATTAAGATTGGTGTTTGAATTGGAAATACAAAGGGTATTAAAATGTTCTCTATAATTACTAATGCTGGGAGCTATATCCATGACCACTTTTGCGAGTGAATCTTTTAATGAATTATGTGTGTATTTATATTTATTTACTTGACTAGTAATTAGGAGAACTCAGCAGTTAGAGGAAGAAGTTTTTATTTATAGAATATGGATGTGATAAGTAATTTGTTATCGATATTGTTGATCATTTGGCCAATTGGTAATGTGTAGAATAAGGCTTACCAGGTAGTGCTTGCAAGTGTTTTTAGGGTTTTAATTTTGTGGAAGTGGTGGATACTGGATTGTTTTAGTCCATGTAAAGCTCTATATAAAAATTACTGTTTTAATTGTTTTTCTATTACAGAGTTTTCCCATTGTAAATTTGAAAGCTTTAACTTTTTAATATTCCTGGTTATGAGTTTGGAAGAGGGATGTCTGGGATTTAATGTGTAATTTACTCAAAGTATTGATGTTGCTGGCATATTGAGTGCCAGGGTCTTTTAAATCAGGGATGCATTTAATAATAATTTAATAAGCAGACTGAATTTTCAAATGTATTGGGAAAAATCAGTATGTTGGAACCAAGACACAGTTTTGCTCAAGGGAAATGCTTTAGGGATACCTTTGTACTATGTTTGTGTTATGGTTATAAAACACAGTTTATATGACATCCACAGAGTAAGTACGTAAATTTTCCTTGTACTGTACAGTATAATCATAAGAGTACTGTAGTATTTCCACGCTAAGCTGGCTCATTAACCCTGCCCCTCGTTTATAGCTACAAATAGCTGATTGGTTCCCCTGAGCATTTTACCTACCCCTGGACTGCGCGTATGTACAGTATATCGACCCTTTATAATAAATATTAAAATTTTTCTAACATCCTCTCTGAAGTGCTAATGCCTTAAAAAATTTGCCTTTTGATAATCCATATATATATAACATTATTTTAGATAATAACAGGTCTGCTTTATTGTGAAAACATTCAGTTTGAATTTTCTATAAACCAATCGGCTATTAGTATAGAAGAGGGGCGGGGCCTATGGGCCAGGTTAGAGCTATAATGGTACAGTATTGTCATCTTTACAATTACGTAATGGTATGTTCATGTGAATACTTCTGTATTACTATACAGTATTTAGATATTTTTATGTCGTATGCAGAAATATTACTTATTTCTTCCATTTGTTCTTCCATCTTGATTGGTGTAATTTGTCTTGGTTTTATATATAGTGGACACAGGTGTAGACACTTTCATCAGACACCAGAAAGAGGTTAGAGGCCTTCAATATGTGGTACAGTATATGCGAATGATAAGAAAAGTTACACTGACAGGAAATGTACATAAAAATAAGATACTTTGGTCGTATAACTAGGGATGAGGGGATAACAGAAATATTAATGGACAAAGTGGAGGGTAAGAGTGCCAGGACAAGGCAGAGCCTGGGATGGACGAATGAAATTAAATGGGTTATAATGGAGGGCTGTGGTTGACAGCCCTTAAATATGAGGATAGTGCTTGGATTAATTGATTGGGGCTTGATGAATTAAATTTTGGTGCTAAAACGAGATTTTAAAATTAATTTCATACCCCAGGTTAGTTTTTAAGTACAGTACAGAATTTTATAAAATAAATTTGTCTGAAGTGATACATTTATAATGAAAGTCTTGACAAACAAATTTTTTCATGCTTGTCTGTATGAAATGGTAAACACTGTACAGGTACTGTGTATGGTACATAATGGTAAGTGTTATGAATCACTTAAACCTCTGGATATCAGTTAAGGGAATTGTCATAATTTACTCACAGAGATGGAAGTGAGAGGTATTTAGTGTTCATGGTAACCATAGAGATACCCAAGGTGTTCATATTGATCCTGCCATTATCTCTCTTGACAGACTGAATCAGAAGATGCCTGAGTTGGTTCATATTAGGCATGGAACAAAATTCTCATTTATTTGATAAGAGGAAAATTATAAACATTAATTTATAAATACCTTTTTGTTATTTCACTAATCAGTTGCTGCAGTTTCCTCTTTATTTGATAATTTACAGCACATAAACAATGGCTGTATAAAAATATATACAGCTGCTCCTCGACTAACGACATACTCGACCAACTGAACATACGACCGCCTCGGTCGTACCAAAATTTTGTCAAATTACGTATTTTCGAGTCCCAACGTTAGTGATTGCGCTGTGTACTGACAAAATTTTCGTTTGTAATTCACTGAAAAATGGCTGGCAAGCTTAAAAATGAGAGTTTTGTGGTGCTGAGAAGAAAAAGACACCCATTTCAGATTTTATATGTATTTAAGCATTTTCGACTTAAGACCTGGATTTGGGTCCCTAACTTCGTCGTAAGTCGAGGAGCTGTATAATTTTTTTAGTAAAGATTCCTAGGCTAACAAGCACATTTTTATCGCTGTTAGAGTAATATTTTAGTATAGTAGAGGTATGGGGTATATTGTAACTTTAGCGAGGATCTGCTTTAGCCAACTACCAGG